ACGTAAAAGGGGGTGTAAATAAATAAAAAAAAGTGTTTTACTGCGGATTTCTATGTGAAAAAATGGAAAGGGGAAAGAGTTTTTTTTTTTTTTTGAATTGATTAAACTCGATTATCAAATAAAAAATCGAAACTATAGAAATTATAAATCACGTGACAGCAGATCTTCGCGTTATACTAAAGTTTTAATTCTGACCGGAATTATAAGCTTGGCCAGAGTTACCTCCGATCACTGATATTCGTGCAATAAACGTTTTATTTTAAATGCAAAATCATAAATTTAATGATCAAATGATTTATATGTTAAATATGTTATCATTGGAAATTTTCCTGCCACAGGTTTAATGATGCACAATCGATTAGAAACGATCGAAATCGAAAATCGAATTTTAGAATCGAAATTTGAGAAACGATTAATCGCGGTTAGTCGATTTTAAATCGATTCTAATTATGGAAATCGATTCCAATCCCTAAGTGCTAAGTGGTAAGAAATTCAAAACCAAACAATGAAATTAAACTGCAATTAGAATAATTAGAATAAAAATTTCAAAAGTGGTATAGTATTTTGAAATGTATTTTAAAACGAATTACGATTACGAAATGTTATACCTCTGATATTGCATGTAAAACTTGAATAATTGGATCTTGTAAATTTAAGTCCAAATTACCATCAAAATAATTATAACCATGAAAAATAGACAGTGCAACTTCAAAAGAATGTAAATTTCCTTCGTCTCTATCCGATCCTGAAATCGAAAATCGAGTTTTTTTTTAAAAAAAATTTATTATCCGGATTCTGGGTCAAAATCCAGATATTTATAACCAGATATAAAAATCGTAAATATCCAGATATCTGGAAAAATAAAATTATCCGGGCTTATTTGGTTGAACCCGGTAATGAATTGAAATACTAAAAATACTAAAGATTCCAACCTTTTATTAAATACTTAATTTTTCTTAGAAATTTTAAATTTTCGCAAATATGTAAATATTTGTATTATGATAAATTCATTTTCATATTTCATTTCGAATTTAAATTTAAAAAAAAATATTTTCTATATCGTTTCACTCCTAAAGAAATTAATAATGTCAAAATTAAATAATGATATTTTTTATGAAATTTAAGAAATACAATAAAAATAAAAATAAAAAAAATCTCTCTTGTTTATTAGTCTGAACTGTTACAGCACTCTTTGATCGTACAAAATTTCATATCAAAAATTTTCTTATTCTCAATTTTTTAAACACATACGTAAGAAAGCAGCCAATCAGTTAATAATTCTAGGAGTTATCAGACATTCTATATATTTCGATGGCGATTTTTATATAATGGCTTGCTTTTCATAATCAAACATAACATGGTGTTGCAGGTACTGTTCTTTTAACGTTAATTAGGATTGATCGAGATTCTAGAAGTTTCTATATTTTACAGTACATTAATGAATTAAAGTACAACTTCCGCCTTTATAATTAATAAATTTTACAGGTCTTTATTTATTCATATTGCAAACAATAATTATCTATAAAACTATATGAATTAAAATTTAAATTATAGAATTTTTTAACTATAATATTATGTAATTTAAATTCATTTACTTCGTTTTTTAAAGTAAATAATTCATTATCTAAATCATCATGATTAGTAATAGCCAAATATTTAACCCTTTCCTTCTTCATAATATATTTCTTTATACAAAATAAAATATTCTCACTTTTATCTACCATAATATTTCTAATTAATAATTTCTTAATAAAAGTATTTTGTGAATTTTTTAAAAATATTTCCAGTTCATTTGTCCTAAATGAAAGGGATAAACATAAATATTCTAATTTAGAAGGAAGAACTTGTCCTAAATTCTGTAATACAGTTGAGCTTAATTCCCTATAATCAGTATACCTATCAGCATATGCTTCAATAGTAAGATAATTAATATTATGTTGATTATTTTCAATGAATAAATAAATATTATTATCATCAAGTATTCCCGATTCAAAATATCTAATCTTTTTACAATATTTCGTAATAAATTCAATTAATTGTCGTTTTGGTTCATCATAATCACTAAACATCATAGATTCAAATCCAAAATTTTCCAGATAATCACTAAATTTCAGTAATAGCAATTGTATTGATTCAAAATGTAATATTTCATCCATAAACAAAGATCTCAATTTAAATGGTTTATTAACCATAATAATTTGTTGAACAAAATCAGAATTTAAAGAACGACAATAAAGAATATGAATAGATTCTAAAGCATTCAATTGATCAAAAACCTCTTGTAAAATACTAATTATATCCTTAAAATCAGTAGAATGAAATATAATTGTATTTAAAGTATTTGAACAATTAGAATTTTTTAATGATAAAAATGGATTATATAAATCAATATCATATTCAAATGAAATTTTTCTGAGATTATGTTGTGAAATAATTATTTGTATTAACCATTTTTGAATTAATGAACGATAATCATTATTATATATATGAATTCCTAAAACCATTGTTGAGATTGAATTGCAATTAGAATATAAAATTTCCAATAACTTAATAATATTTTGAGTATTATAATTAAAAATATGGAATGTTAAATTTCTAATATTATATGTAAGATTTGGATTTTGTAAAATCAAGTCTATATTATTATCAAAGTAATCATCATCATAATACGTAAGCAGTTCAGCTTCAAAAGAATGTAAATTTCCTTCATTTTCAATAAACATTTCAAGTAATGACCTATAAATTAAGTTTACTAGCTTCCATTGGTTTTTACCACCTACAGTACAAACCCACGTTTGAACAGAACTTATAATTCTATCTATATTTAAGTATTTAATAAAACTAGGATAATTGAATAATGATGTATTTGAGGATATTAAATTATTATTAACTCCACATTCATATAATTTTGTTTTGACATCTTCATTTAACTTACTTAAGTAAACTTTAATAAGGTGGTGATTATCGGGATCATCCTTTAAAAATGGATCTTCCCATAATAATGGAATGGCTAAACGACACCATAATCTATTAATTAAAATGCATGAATACAATGTTGAAAAATCTTTTCTAAAATACTGTATAATTTCATTTGTTAATTCGGGTAAATCTCCTGAAAATATTTTTGAGCATGCCATGTTATTAAAAGGGAGTTGCTTTCGTTCAAAATAAATTTATATTTATCAGTTGTCAAAGTTGTACAATTTAGTGTTCCATAAAAGGACAACAAAAGAACCAAAAATAATATGTAAATCATTCCTTTTAAATAATTCTGTTAATTTCATCCACCTGATTATCACATGTTGATTTTTACAATTTTCATATTTTTACGCTTAAAGTATTATTTTAAGCAATTATTTTACATTTAAACGTTTATAATTTTTTTTTTTTTACAAATTTGGGATTTCTCTTAAACAAAAATTTTTTTTTCTATTTCTATAAATGAAATCTATAAAATTTATATGTGAAAATAAACGTTTAAAACCACACTTTAAGCGCTTAAACAAGCATTTAATAAACGACTGGTGTGCCATACCTGATCGACAAAAGATCCAACCAATAGACTAAGAAATGAAATGTAGGTTTAGGTTCTCTGTATCCGTTGCCCTGTAAAAAAAGTCAATCCGTTTTTTTATTCCATCTTTTTTCCGTAAAAGGCTCATATTTCCGGAATTAATAACTTTATATCAAGGAATTTATCGAATTATTTGCATTTTCCGTGAATGGATTCGTGAAAGGCTCAATAACGGATAAATTTTATAGGGTTGAAGTTGCAGCAGAGATTGCAGCAGGTAGCTGCTAGATTTTGGCAGGTAACAGTAAGTTCCCACGGGAACTTGTTTTTTCTGGTTAAAATCTTTTTCTTGGTTTTACAATTTATAGTAATCTATTAAATTATTGGATTCAAGCCAAGCTAGTTTACAGACGTAACTGCCCATCGCTATAAAAAGATCAACTATTTCATATGTATTCTAGTTTTTACTGCGGAATATATTTTATGATAAGCCTAGAAAATTTGTTTTCATATGCTACATTTGTACATCTCTCACTTTAATCCAATATTATTTTTTAATGAAGATCGCTTCATATATATATCATTAATTGAGTTGATTAAAATAAGAACTCAGAAGAAATTGAAATTTTCAGTTTTGTAATATTCATAAACACTTAGTTCATACTTTTTGAACTTGATGTAGCAACTGATTTGCTATTTATATATAAACTTACTATCACTTTATCTGAGTTGCTTTTTTTTAAAATATTTCCTAGACAGACAATTTTAAAGTGTATAATTTTGGCCGGAATTATGCCAGTTTTCAAAAAATTTGGAAGATATTTTTTTATCAGTTTACACAATAAATGTATCACAATAAATGTATCATAATAAATATAAATTAAGCATAATAAAGGACAAAAATTATAAATAAAAATAATACAAAATTATAATGATAATAGTGTATAAAAGGTTTGATTTTTCCATTAATCGATTTAATCGTGGTCATCAAAATTGCTGCGCCACTACCATTATGAAGAAGTGAAAAATTTTATGATAATCAAAATATTTTTGAATTTCAATTTCGTCTCTATCCGATCCTGAAATCGAAAATCGAGTTTTTGATTTTTTAAAAAAATTTATTATCCGGATTCTGGGTCAAAATCCATATATTTATAACCAGATACAGTATAAAAATCGTAAATATCCAGATATCTGGAAAAATAAAATTATCCGAACTTATTTGGTTGAACCCGGTAATGAATTGAAATACTAAGAATACTAAAGATTCCAATCTTATATTAAATACTTAATTTTTCTTAGAAATTTTAATTTCCGCATATATGTAAATATTTGTATTATGATAAATTCATTTTCATATTTCATTTCGAGTTTAAATTTAAAAAAAATATTTTCTATACCGTTTCACTCCTAAAGAAATTAATAATGTCAAAATTAAATAGTGATATTTTTTTATGAAATTTAAGAAATATAATAAAAAAAATATATAAAATTCTCTCTTGTTTATTAGTCTGAACTGTTACAGCACTCTTTGATCGTGCAAAATTTCATATCAAAACTCAATTTTTTAAACACATATACGTAAGAAAGCAGCCAATCAGTACTGGTTGTTCATATTAGCTTTACATGTTACCTTAATTAAACTTGTAAGACCAAATGACCTTTGTGTTTGTAACACGATCGGCATAATCATAAATAACGAACTTTTCGCCTCATTTTAAAGTTCAAACTCTTTTTTGTTGTATTTGAAAAACAATGTCTAAACTTCTTGCTGATTGTTGGAACGAGATTTTTGAATACTTGGAAGGGGACATACGTACTTTGTATTCATGCATATTAGTTAATCGTCTTTGGTGTGAAGTTTCAGTAAGAATTCTGTGGAGAAATGAATGGAATTATACTACTTCGAACTTTAGTACTTTAATTACTTGCCTTCCAAATGAGTCAAAAGAAATTTTATCTAAAAATGCAATTACTATTTTAACCCCAACTTTAAAACCTCCCACTTTCAATTATGCATCATTTTGCAAAGTTCTATCAGTTAATCGAGTTTATTACAAAATTGAAAGGCTTCTTAAAAATCAACAAAATATTCTATCACGAAATCTTATAAATTATACACAAATAGTTACGCAGGAAGTACTCCAAATGTTCATGAAAGAAATCTCTTCTTTAAGAAATCTAATTTTTTCCCCATCTCCATATATAACTTTTTCCTTATATCCTGGAGCAAAAGATTGCCTAAAAAATCTCTCAGAATTATACTGTGGTTCAGATATTTCCACCGAATTATTTTATCAACTATCTCAAACATGTTATAATATACAATCACTTACTATAGAATTTAAAAGAATTATTTCGAATGGAATAGCAGATATAATTTCTGTTCAGAGAAATTTAAAACGCTTTGATATGATAATATATAATAATATGGCAAATGTAATTTTTTCATTAATGTCAAAAGTTCCTAAAACTTTAATTAAATTAAGAATTCATAGTAGCATTTATTATACTCCATCATTGACTTTTATTGCCAATTTCTCAAATTTACAAGAACTTGAATTATCATTTGATTTTGAAGAATACTTTGTTGATTTTAAAAAGTTACAATATGTTATTTTTTCACAATTACAAGTTTTAAAAATTTGTCATAAATTGCCAAGCAATGGGTTACTGATAAAATTCTTAGAAAATAATGGGAAAAATCTAAAAGAAATTTATATAGGTGAGATTGAACGTTGTAATGATAATTTATTAAATTTAGCTATTTCTAAGTTTTGTCCAATGCTTAGAAAACTTTCCACTGGAATTAAAAATAATGAATTGGAAACATTAAAAATAATTTTTAATAGTTGCAAATATTTAGAAAGTATTAAAATTTGGTGTGGAGGTAGTTTTTTGAGCGAAAAGCAAGCATTAGAAACAGTTGTGAAATATTCACAAAATATTAATGAACTAGTATTATATCATTTATATATCACACAATTTATTTTACTTCCGAAAGAATTAGAGTCCTTTTTCATAAATTGGTCAAATCGTGTACCACAAAAATCACTTTCTTTAGTAATTATTGTATATTTATATGAAGAAAATACTAGCTTAGATAAAAATGATGAAAATATTGAAATAATTAATAAATATATTAAATTAGGCGTTATTAAGAAATTTAAAGTTACAGATGATTATCGATATAGTATTTAGACTATGTACTCATATTATTATTAATAAAATTAAAAATTTCTTTTATATGTCCATATAATTGTTTAATACGCAATTTTTTGTTAATGTAATCTATCATTTTGAGATATTATTAAAAATTTTCTTAGCGTTGCAATAAATTTTTGTAGCTAAACGCATGGGTACTGATAATCAAGAGAATTATTCATTTAAATCTAATAAAGATAGGGGTAAAAATAAGAGAACTTTTCGTTAGAATCTGATTATGATGATGAGGATTGAGATCACGTAATCAAGTGAATTATTTGTTTGAATTTAATTATAGTGATATCTTTTGAATTCAAAATAAATACAGCATTAGCAAAAGGTTTACAACCAGTTGTTAATTTCCACATAATCATGCCCACACCATATATATCAGATGATTTAGAAAATTGACGCCTTTAAATATTTTGGTACAATATAAGGTATTACTACATATATATTGCTATCTTGTGGAATGTCATTTGAAGGCCGTGATAATCCTAAATTTTCAATTAGATATTGATCTATTTTACATAAATTATTTTTAATCAATATATTTCCACTATGAAAATCTCGATGTACGAAATCTTTTTCATGAATAGTTTGAAGTCTAAAGCTTATTAATAAAATTTTATTTAAATAATTTAAAATGATTATTAATTAACGTTAAGTTATAAATACCCATCTAAAATTCGCCATCAAAATATGCAATTTTTTCTTATATATTTTTAAAAAAAAACAAATTTTGAAAATTAATTACCTCATTTAAAAATATTTATTTGGTTCTTGAGAATTTAAAATTTTTTTTATAGCAACAACGTAAAGCTTTATAAATAATACCAAATCCTCCTTCTGCTATTATTTTTAAAATTTTAATTTGTGAATACGAAACCCATTTTAATTTTGGTTTGTAGAGTGATAATCAAACTTATCTCGAATAAAACTATATATATTTAACGGATTAGAATTTTTGTTGATATTATTAATATAATTATTAGTAATCCCATAATTATGGGTTGTATATCAAAAATAATATTTGTTATCAAACAATATCTACATTCAATATAAATTATAATGCAGTATGAACACCATTTTTGACTTGAAATTGGTGAAGTTGATCCTACTCATTCGGAAAAAAATTTATAACAACAAGAACACGGCTTATAACAACTCTTATTAGATTTAGAATATACTTGTTTAAAATGTTTAACATACTCAATGCTAGTGTTTCATATTCAATATATGCATCTAAGTATATCATAACATCATCATCATCATTAAAATTCTTCAATAGCATATTTAGCAATGGTTGCAAAATTTTTGATATAAGTAACTTTTTCAGAGTATCTATTTTCACAAAAATTACATATTTTCTCACTTTCATTAAATGGAATAAATAGAATTGGTACAGGGCTAGATTTTAATTTCGGTGTTGGATTAAAAGAATTTTCATTAACTTTTAAATTATATTTACGGTAAAAACTAACAATATTTTCCAAAATTTTGCTGGCCATTTTTGTTATAATTCTAAAAAATTTTTTTTTTAATAATATTTATAATTTTTTTAATTGATTCAAAAGACGATTAGAAATATTGAATCAAAGAATTTGGTATCTAAAGATAGGTTTACTCGAAATAGATACTCCATTATGAATCTAAACTTTTTAAACCAGCGCCACCGAATTCATATTCCTTATACCGAAAGTTCCCGAGTATTTGAGCAGGATGACACTGCGCCAAATTCCATGGTCAATTACACTATCACCGCATCACGAAAATCTGATAATAAAAAATTTTTGACGCTACCCATATACAAAGATCTCTTTTTTTTTTATACGTATAACTTTGAGTATATGCAAGAAAGTTCGAGAATAATTTACGTTATCCTGAGATACAACATTACTTATCAAATTCAGATTACAACTTTCATATAGGACGAGTGGGACTTTAGGTCTCACTTTTTTTATCACCATACATCTCTATATCCCACGAAAAATATTCATAATACAATGTGTAGCCTCTTCGGATGAATTATTTATTGATGTAGTAAATAAATTACATGATTCGGCTCATAGCCGTGATACACGACGGCCAAAAGGCGCCTTGCTAAATTTTCTACACTAATATACATGATTATTGACTATCAGCTATAGATTATACCGTCTCATATATCTCTATTTTTTTTTTTGCCGGACTTCATTATACAGTATGCTGGTCTTCTTATAACGCTATGTTAAAATAGTTGGGTGGTCATTTTGATGGTGGGTCGTCTATTTGAACTGTTACATCGATATCATCTTGCACATTAATGGAATCTACACTATTTTGTCATTCGATATCCATAATCAAGAACTTCAAAACTAGAGTTGTTCGTTTTTGACACTTATAACGTGTTTATGTGTCGCGTCACGTCACTTGAGGCCATTTTCATTTAAATACTGATAAAGAATTCCAGTCAATCAATTATGTGGTAACATAGAATAATGAAAATGTAGACTGAAAAGATTCGAAGCAATAAGAACCGATTTAATTTTTCTCTTTGTTGCGTTTCTTTCCGCTCATGTCATTTTACAGGTCCCTATAAATTAGCATTGAAACCTTATGTTAGTTCTAGCTCATTCACTTCAGGCCATAATAGTGAATACCAAAATGGTATCGTAAACAGTGACCAATTTGACAAGTGGTTGTACACCATAACCCAACTACCTTAGGGATAAGCATACATTTCGGGAGTGACTATATATATGGTATCCTTCACTACTATCTATGTCTTCCATTATGACAGGTCATAATATCGAACACCAAAATGGTATTGTAAACAGTGACCATTTTGACAAGTAGCCATACACCATAACCCAATTACCTTAGGGATAAGCATACATTTCGGGAGTGACTATATATATCATGGTATCCTTCACCACCATCTATATCCTCTATTATGACCATCAGATCCTTTGCAAGAGTGACTCCAGAGCACTTGTCAGCCAACTACTATATCTTTAAGACGGTGAATTTGAACCTGATGACTTATATTCAGGTACCTTAACTAAGGCTCCACTTTCAAAGATATAACCTTGGGGTGGGTTCTCGTACGATGGGCCCCAGTCATCTATTTGCAACCCTTTAAAGCCGTTCGGTCAGCCCTCATAAACCTTCGCACGTTGCTTTCGCGGTGTGCAGTCAAGGCTTATGGTCAGTGGGTGATAGAATACTCATTACCCACCTTTTAAAAATTCCAGTAAACAATAACATTTGTTAGAGAGTAGGTTTTGACGTTTATTTTCTTCATAGGTCGAAGGCAACGTTATTATCCATAAAAGCCTTTTGTTGTTCGTATGGACCGTCCTGCCATCTTTTTTTTTGATAGGAGAGTTTAGAACTCGGAAACAACATTATTATTTGTTTTTTTTGTTAGGAGAGTTTTTTTTATTAGATAGTGGCTTTTTTTGTTAGGAAGGTGTACCTTTTTATATTATTTTCTTATCACATGATATAAGTCTACAATGTTATATTCTATTGTGAATGAATATTGTTATCAATCATGACTAATAGTTTATTTGATATATGAGTCATCTTTACTACTGTAACTCTGATTTAGAGTAAATTTCCATATCGGTTAGTTTACAATCATTATTTTTTGCCTTAAATACAGCGGAGAGTTAAATTATCTGGACTGCTTAGAAATACAAATATGCATGATCGCATGATCAAATATAATCAATTTAATGTATTATTATCTGAAAATAGATGATAATTACAAAAAAACTCAGCCCTCTCAGCCTCAAAAAAAAAAAAAATTTACCCGTGAAATAAAATATAATATCTAACAACCGAAAAAAATAAGAAAATAAAGAACAAAAAATAATTAAGAAATAACAAAAATAGGATTAACGAAAATAAAGATTAACCATAAAAAATAACTATTGAAAGAGCCTTACATGCCACAATTCAGAAATAAAAACATTTATATTATAAAGTATCACCCAATAAATGAAATTGTAAGTTGACCATAACATTAAGACCTTTCTTTTAAAAAAAAATGTTTTTACAATAAACTTCATTAACCCTATAAAAAATAAATGTCCGGAAAATGTCTACGAAAATGTTCGGAAATTGTCCAGAATAAATCTGGCATGTCCAGAAATTGTCCGGAAAATGTCTATTTTTTGCTACAAATTTGACACCTAAAATTTTGACATATCCGGACTTTGTCCAGAATATATCCAGAATTTGTCCAGTATAAAATTTTGGACAAATTCCGGACAGATAAACCTGGACAAATTCCGGACATAGTAAAAATTCAGATAATTTGAGCTGGACAAATTCCGGACATGAAAAAATTCTGGACAAATTCTGGACGCTAATTCCAAAAAAGGATAAATTAATTTTGTAAAAAAATGCAAAAAGCACAAGACTGACATTCATAACCTTCTTTGTCATACTAATTAAATTTGCTGAGCAGGCAAAAATACTATATATCTATGATATAAAACTTTAAGTTAAAAGCAATTATAATGATGGTCACCTGTTGATCATCTTTTTGTGCCAAATTTTATGAAAAAATATTTCAGGTCAATTTCCGGACAAATTCTGGACAAAATGAGTGTCCGGAAACGAGTGTGTTTTCGGAACAATTTCCGGACATGGTACCTGGCATTTTCTGGACATTTTCCGGACAATTATTTAGACAAATTTTCCGGACAATATCTGGACAATTTCCGGACACTTATTTTTTATAGGGTAAGTTTGTAGATGCAATTCATTTCAATATATATCTTTAATTTTGTAGTTATCATAAAAGGCGCGGAAAAATTATTTTCCATATGGTTAGTACAAATTCTTGTTGCATAAATGAGGCTTCGTTGGAAAAAATTTTTTTAAGCAATAATGACGAAAGGAAATTCATTAGAACAAGATTTTAAGATTTTCAATAAACAATCCCAAAGTATAGTATATGAGGATGAAAAGAAGTTATATGGTTGCGGAGCAATTTTAGCAGCAAGATCATTTCTTTACCGGAGATTAATTCGATTGGAATGGAGATCGTATTAGAATATATTTATTTATACAGGATTAAATAGAGAAGAATCTTCAACAAAAGATAATATGATTGAAGCTTTTTACGCTGCAAATTATTTTCAATCAACAGAACTTCAAAATTTTATTCACCGGAATTGTTATCTAAATTTGCGGAAAAAAAAGTCTAACGGAAAATAGTATTCTTCAAAATTTATTGGTAAATATGAACCCCAACAATTACAATCAACAATAGCAGCAAATTGTCTACATTAGAAAACCCACTAGTATAGAATATAAAACATCACGCTCATAATCATACATTTTTTTGTCCACCGTTTCGACATTAGACGCTTGCGCTGATGCCTTTCTATATGAAGAAACTGAGGGAGTTTACAAAATAAACCCGGCAAAGGGTTTATTTACTATTATCAAAAAAAAAATTAAAGGAATAATATTAAAGACAGACTGATTCAGTATCTAATTGTTTCATGGATTATAATATAGTTTATTAAAATATCCTTTAATACTACATGGATTTACAGAAGAAAATTCTATAATTGAAACCAAAAACAAAATACTATTAATTACAGTTCATAATAAGATTTCTGTCATTTAGAATACTAATAATATTATTATTATAAATAAATTTTTTTACAAAACTCATCACTTTTAATAAATTTGTTTGAAGATTCACGTTTGATAAGCTTGTTCATTCATCATGGCTGAGATTTAATCGACCAGGTGAAGTTAGCTTCTTTTGTATATTATCATTCCGAAACTTACTTTTCCTTACGTTCTTATTAATTTAAGCGTTGTACAGAGAAAAAATCAAAATTATGAGTTGAGATTAATTATTATTATAACATAGGTACATATTTTTTAATTGGTTAAAAAATCATCCATATTTTATTATAAGTTTTCTTACAGGGTATATTTCCTAATTATGGAATCTTATTATTGATAACTCAATAATAAGAATGATAACTCGTTCGAATACTGATCCTTATTCCTTGTTTTCAAACACGACAGACCAAAAGTTTTTTGCAAAACTTAATTTTTAAATATCTTTCATAGCACAATATATTATTGAAGTACCAAGAGCAAATTATATTCAAAGCTTGTATTGAGATATAAAATCACAATCGTTTTCTATTAAATTCTTCTGTTTTTAAATAAGAAATAAGATTTTTATGTTATTTGAAAGGTTATAATCTTCTAAAAAGTATTCATCTGTAAATACAGTAAACGACAATATCAAAATTTCACATAATTTCGTATAATAATAATCACAAATTTAATTATCCTTGAAATTTAACAATAGTAATAACTGATAAAAGAAAATAAATAAATTTTTACAGAAATTGTTAATAAATTAAATGTATTTGCTTTTATTAAATTGTATTTGATAATTATTAAGACTTTTTTTTTTAATTTAAAGACTTAAGAACTTAATAATAATTTAGTAGTGTAATGCCGTAATATACCTAGTAAATTTATTAATTATGGGCGCAGTATTATATTTAGAATTAGTGTCTAAATTTTTTAGTAGTTTAAAATTGTATGACGTTACAAATGTAACGTCGTTAAACTAGGAAATCAGGTGATTATGTACGAAAAGATGTTAATGTGATTTGAATTGTAGATCATTTAGAGAACTATAATTAGGATATTTACCATTTAAGGAGGAGATTTGAAGATCAAAAACGAAAGAAAAATTCAAAATTTCAAAAACATGAAAAATGCAAAGTATTAAAGTGTGCGGTTCGATTGAAGTTAAGATGTGAAAGATCTAAAATTTTCAGGTTTTCAACTAAAAAAGATATAAGAGGCGCAGGATGTTTCTTAGAGAAAGTATTTTTAGATTTAATATAAATAGGGGTAAATTTTGAGTTTGTGAAAATTCAGATACGAATTTGGGGATTTATTTGAATAATTATTTAGGATATATTTAGTATTGTTAAACCAAGCATATATTTGTATTTATTTATATTATTAATAAAGAATTATTTTGCTAAGCCTAAGGTGGCAAACGTAATTTATTACGGGCTTAGATCTTACAGTAGGAAATCAAATATCGGAATGATTCTTGCCTTATTAGGATGGAGTAAATTGCAACAGCAGGGTTTACTTCCCAAAGCCCACGTATTCAATATTTCCGAAAACGATGCAGCCCATATTCTGATAATCAGAGTTGATGAAACAACACGTTTTAGTTTATTAAGAAAAGTTTTTTATCGTTACTTGATTATCAAATGAATTTTTTGAGTTCATCGTCAAAAAAAAAAATAAAAATAAAAATAAAAATAAAACAGATTTTTAATTTCTGGGTCAAATTGATCGTCAACAAATTTTCTAATTCAGATTGGTAGTACAGGTTTACAAAATAATACTTTATTGACGGAGAATTAAAACTGCGAAATCTTCTGCATGATTTTCAACATGCATAATTATAGAATTTCTATATAGAATATCTTTAAAGAAAAGTCCTGTAGAATTTCGCTTTGTTATTGAATTCTCAATTCTCATAATAAATATAAATATTGCTTTATAATTCTTTGCATTTAACTTTTATAAACTATTTTCTTGAAATACAACATTATGAACACAGATAATGATCCATTTGATACTACGCAAAAGTTAAAATCTAGTCCTGTACCTGTTTTATTTATTCCTCTTAAAGACAATGAGGACAAATGTAATCATTGTGGAACTGAATACTCCAAATCACTTAAGTATAACCAAAAATATTGCAAAAATTGTTTATTTCGTTATATTCAAAATATAACAGTCAATAATAAATACTTGAATGTACATTTAAGCACAAATAATTCTCAGTGTATTAAACATAAAACAACTAGAAAAGATTTTTATACAACAAGCATTCAAGAATGGTGTGAATATTGCTCTGAGATTTTATATTTTACACAAGTAGTAACAAGAAATATATATTGTTGGCACATTTTTAATGTTGAACACTGCGAACTTTGTAATTACAGGCGGTTATCAATTTATCAGGTTTCTTCTGGATGGGTAGAATCAACTTTGAATAAAAAGTCTATTCTGATTTTATATTTACCATGGTGGGATAGTTATAGCCAGTGTATAGTTTGTTATGAAGAACTAAAATATATATATCAAGAGTCAAAATCTTATTGTCAAAAATGGTGTTCACATTGTTTTATAGTTTATAATGGATGTAGGTATTGTTTAACAACAAATATGATTTTTGGAATTACGGATCAATCTCAATGTAAGAAATGCAAAAGAACTTCATTCATTAGAATTGACATTACAGATAGAAATTACATTATAGAAGAATTTCTTGCTTCTATAAGAATTGACAATAAGAATCTCCATCTTATTGGTAATTATAAGAACAGAAACACGATTGGTTATCCATCTGGTCTTTATTCGTTTATTAATAAAAATCTTCGTTTAAGTCTACATAAAAAAACAATAAAAGAAATAGAAGAAGTAAAATGGATTCCATATTCTCAAATTACGGATTTAAAGAAAATAGCGGAGGGAGGATTCAGCATTATTTATAAAGCGACTTGGGAAGGAATTGATGTTGCTGTAAAAAAATTACATGATTCACAAAATATCAGTAAATACTTTTTAAATGAGGTAATATTTACATTTTATATTCTTTAATGATACTGTATTAATTGATTTATTTATACTTTAGTTAAGATCACTTTATCAATGTAATGATGGCAATGAATGGGTTATTGGCTGTTATGGCTTTACACAAGATCCTATAACAAAAGAATATATGTTAATATTGAATTATGCAGAAGGTGGAAATTTGCATGATTATTTGCAAAAGAACTTTATAAATATTACATGGAACAATAAATTGTTTATTTTACGAGGAATATTAATCGGGTATTTATTATTGTATATTTATTATTATTAACTATATACAGTATTATTAACTATATTTACAAAATTTATTAACTACTAAATTTTGTATTTAGACTCGAAAGTATTCATAGTAAGAATTTTATACATCGAGATATTCATAGTGGAAATATGTTATTATCTGAATATTGGAAAGTTGGAGACTTAGGATTATCACAACCTGCAAATAATACATTATCAAATAATGAAATATATGGAGTAATACCTTATATTGCACCAGAAATATTTAAAGGTGCTGCATTTTCAAAAGAATCTGATATATATAGTTTCGGTATGATTATGTGGGAAGTTACAACAGGTTGTAAACCTTTTGCAAATGTTGAACATGACCATAATCTCATCTTTAAAATTCTTGATGGAGAACGACCTAAAATTACGAAAGATACTCCTGAATGTTATGACGATTTAATGAAAAAATGTTGGGATTCTAATCCTTCAAAAAGACCAACTATTTATGAAATCTCGAATTCTCTTTTATATTGTGATGCTATTGTGGAATTTGAACAAGCTGAAAAAAAAAGATTGGAATTAATACAATTAAAGAAACTTGGACCAGAATTTAGTGAAAAGTCTCATCCAAAAGCAATTTATACAAGTAGAGCATTAAGTAATTTGATTTCTAAAGCTTCAACTATAGGTTCAATGGTTTCATTTAATATGAAACAAGGTATAGTATAATTTACTATTAATGAAAAAACTTGAAACGTTAATTAGACGGTCAGATGATAATAATTGAATTCACTTCTTTTGAATTTATATTAACTTAAATGGCTTTTATTAATTTTTAGAATATATTACACGAGAATATGAATTTGATATAAATAATATTCAAAGGTAGTATATAAATATATATAACTAGTTAATAATATAAAATAAATAATTATATGGTATATTTTTTTAGATCATCCACACAAAATACAAATTCCGCCACTCAAAACTTAATTGTACCTGTAAATTCTTCAAGAAAACGTAATTTTGAAGAATTAAAGGACGAAACGAATGAAAATCAAAGAAATAGTAAGTAAAACATTTATTTACGCACAAAATAAATAATGTCTATAGTATTTCACTTCAACAATTTTATAATATATTTTTTTTTTAACTAAAATAGGAAAATATATTAAAGTTGATAATTCAGATGATGAATTGTTGAACATAATTGAGCTTATTTAATTTGTATTTGTCACGAAAATAATTTATATAGATTGATTTCACAATTTTCACAAGATAAAATATTTATAACATATCTGTACATGAAGAATATGGCAATTCGAACAATAATTAATAATTTTATCGATATTTTCTTTAATTTGAGTACAATTATGACTACATGTATACAAAATAAATAAATGAAGTATAACCATATTAAAATAAAACAATTATTAAAGCTTCAAATTTTTGAGATCACAATTACATACAAGTGAAATAACCAGATTTTGGATATTCATAACATAACCGGTTAATACTGAAACTGGCACATATATTTTTTGATTTTGATTCAGTCATGAGCTTTGTTTATTTAGACTCTTGAAGTAAATGATGAATCATGTATATTTTTTCTATTATTAAATATGTGAGTAAAGCAAATTAGAAGCAATATTTTAATATTATACCCTTGCTCATCCGCTTTCTTTATCCAATTAAACTCAAAGTAATTGAAAGTTAGGTTTAATTTAAATAATAATTTAAAAAATATAAAAATACTAACCTGATAAGAACATTTTAATTTATTTTAGTCATTGAGTTCGTTATATTGAGAAATGTACCGAAACATAAACTTTTTAATGCTAAATTAAATTATTTTAATTTTCCATTTTTCCAAGTTATAAATTATTTAGAAAATCAATAAATCAATGCTTGGTTCTTTTTTGAAAGACTTTATATCAAATATCTTGATTAAAAAGAATTATGACGTCATTGAAAATATAATGAAATTATGCCGACAACCTCTTTGCTTTAACAGCCAGAATCGTGTAACATTCTATAAAATTAAAATAAACAAGTTCTAAAAATTCCATATGGTTTGAGCTAAAATAACTATTCCTTTTCTTCCCCTAAATTATTGAAAAAATCATTAAAATTATAATATAACTGATAATTTGGGAAAAAAAACCTGTACCTGGCGATTTTGCCATGGCACGCCAACCCAATGTCATCCACAAATCCCTGACCGATTCAGAAAATATTGAATTACTTTTAAAAAATTTTTATTTTTAAATAATAAAATTGATTATTAAATAATTATCGCTAAAAAGAAAAAAAAAGGAAAAAACCCCGTACTTGCCGATTTGCTGCAACAAGTCCATCCAGGTTACTTCGGTATCGTCCACAATCCCCTGACCGAACTCAAATGACAAAAAAAAAAAATAATAAGTAATTAATTAATGCTAAAGAAAAGAAGAAAAATAAGAAAAGAAAAATTTAAAAGCAAAAAATTAGAACGGAAAAAGATTATATGACTACATACCAGTATCTATAGCATCTAGTATTGTTTTTAGATTTTTATATCCTATATTTCAGTAAAAAAAAAAATAATAATAATGTAAATACTATTTGATGGTTGGATGGCGGTTGGTCATAGGTTTACGATTCATTCGATATGGAATACTTACGAGCGATAACTTTATTTTTTTTCTTTTTTACTAAGATTGGTTTTAGAAAAAGAATTGTTTTAAATATTATTGGTTATTATAACATTCATTGTCGTACTAAATCATCATTATTAGAAACACATATCATTTTATCCTAATATTTTAAAAATACCATACTATTTTGATACATATCCTAAGGGAATTGACTTTAATTATTGAAAAATTTAATAATCATTTTATAAATCAAATGATAAATGTTATTATGAATAAAAATGAATTATGGAAACAATTTTTGATTGAAGATTCTTATGAAAATTGTCTTAATATACATAATTATGATGGCCATATTAGGAATTAAGATATTAAAAATTCCTATGATAGGAACATTTCTTTATGGGCGTGGTTTCCATAAGGAATGTCTAGCTTTACATAATGGTAAATGCAATCATTGTTTTTAACTATATCAAAAAGAAAAAGGGACACCCTGAAACACTGATTATCAAAAAAGAACTCTAAATAAAATAAAAATAATTTAAAGGAATTAAGAAAATTTAAATTATAAAAATAAATATTATGTTTGGGAAACTTGGAGGGACAGAGTCCCCGGTAAATCGCATATTCTAGTTAATTTATTTAAGTCGTGATCCCGCGATCAGACCATATAGTAAATTTGGGATAAGATACATAATAACCAGCTATAATAAATTTAAATCTCTCGTGTTCAATGATATGGCTTAACAAAAAATCCATCAAATGGAAATTATAAATTTGATATGAATTTAAGGGAATGTTTATGACAAAATCATAATTAATTTATATGATGAAGAGAAAGAATTAGAATTACTTTTGATATTTAGCCACTTTATTGAATTCATCAGAATATAATCTGATTATATCAAAATAAGATAATTTACCATTAAGCTTTATTATTATGTAATATCATTGTGTTACTGTCAAATCTACTAGCTTTAACAAAAAAAAATATCTATAATATGTTAAAGATATTAGCCTTAGTTTTTTCTAAAAAAAATTTGAATTACGGCTATAAGATTTTTATAGCCTTAATTAATTACGTCATATAAAAATCTTGTGTTATAACATTTTTTGAATTGTGGCTATCTTTAGAACGGGTTTGGTACGAAATCCCGAAATTCGACAGTACATTATCCCGAACTCTAAATCTCGAAATGGCAAAATCTCGAAATGTCATAATCCCGACATTTCATAACATAATCCCGAAGTTGAAAACTCTTCCTTCAAAAATTAAAAAACATAACAATTCCGCAGTAAAATTTTAATTTTATTTTACTCAGTTTTTTATTAAAATGGAAGATACAAGAAAAATACAAATAGCCGAAAATAAGTTTCCTATGCTTATTATGGGTGATGAAAATAGGTTTTTAAAAACTACATATTTCCAATATATACAATATTGTGAAAGTCTTAGTGCTTCATTTTTTAAGGGACGTTCAACAGAAGTTCAAAATAATATTTTAAAAGCAAATTTTGGATTAACAAATGAAGACATACTCAGTTGGGAGAATAGAGCCTCTCGTTACCAAATGACTCCTCAAAGTTTCTCATTTTTTTTACATGTTGCTATGTACT